TGAATAAAGTTTTCAGAAACTTGCATTTGTAGAAGTCAGGAATCAGCACAGACATGAATAAAAACAAAATGGCTGCCATTCAGCCATTTTGGTTTGAATCTCTAAAACAAATTGATGTGCACCTGTAACCAAATATGCATAATCATAATACAAAATTTGAAAAAAATTGACCTGTCCAGTGAATTTGAATGAGCTTGGTCACAGCATGTCTGAGATATGGTCTCGGACACATGCACGAACAGACCCCAAATTTATAGTGCCTGATTTCGAACTATGCCCAAAACAGGGACAAAATAGCATGCTTTATCTGTTCTAGAGAATTTCACTATTGTTTCCTATGGCAAAGATATAATAACTCAATACAGTGAACAAAAACGTTCACATACTGTTGACTACCCCGGTAATACAAATAACAACAAATAATTTTGACACAAAATATAGCTACTGTTATATGCGATAATATATCGACACATGTAAAAAACTCAAAAGTAATCTTGATAAATAAGACAAAATTTATAAATTGCAATGAAACCAAAGGTTCACTACCTGTTTTTGTATTCACTTCTCTTTATTTACTTTCCTAGATTTTAATTTATAACAGCTATACCCCCGTACTTCAAGTGATTTTCTATTGATAAAATAATCCCATACTGGGTGTGGTAATCCAAGTATTAATGATTCATATTTATAATATTATTGTAATTATCATGATTATAAGATCAACACGCAAAAGAACACAATTACAGACCTGGAAGTCACACACGGAGAGCTGACAAGTGACAAGGAAGTCATCGATTATTACGTAGATATTGGATATTTTTGCCTTGAAAGTCAGATCCTATATTTTTATTAATGCTTCACTCTGGGAGGATCAAAATCTATTTATAAGTAATTAGTGACTTATAGTTGGCATATTTTAAGCGTGAATTAGCGTAGACATTGCAAGTTATATGGGAGAAAAAATAAGTCTGTATGTGTTGTTGATTTGTATTACTGCTGTGGTTCTCAGTAATTCACACAATAGACCTTATCTGCAATGAAGGGTCTGGCAGACAACACACCTGTCAAACTGGTTGCAAAAATTTGAAAATGAATTTGAAATGAAATGAAAAACAGAGATATAATTGTATCTTTAAACCAAGACCTGGGCCCTGGCAACCTGAAAAATACCCCCATAAACAAATTTCTAACATTAAGTACACATGTTTTCAAAACACCACTGCAAGATTTAAATTTTGATTGTAAACACCAAAATACTAATTTATGAATAGAATAGAATAAGAAACGGTTTAAACGAACCATGAAGTAGGTAACAGTTCCTCAAATTGTTACATAATAAGTATAATTACTAAAGGTAAGTACTATTTCTCAATGACACCTAACAGAACAGTTGTTATGACCATTGCATTGTTAAAATTGCATGTTTTTAGACAACTTTGACATACATCCTTCCACAGTGAAAGCGCTTCACCAAATATACAAATATCGGCTCTTATATGAATTTTACATCAAACTAAAAATATGAAGATACAGAATGAAATTCCAGAGACCCTAGAAGTCTATGGCAATATTAAATAAATTTTGAATTTAAAATTTGTATTTAGCTATCAGACTGTATATTCTTTTTCAAAATATTATTATTCACAATTGGGTACTGAGTTGTTTATTGAAATTTGAGTAAATTACCACCAGAAAAGAAAGATCATTCCCTGGTATTTACAGTAAACACTGAAAAGTGAACCAACAAGGCCTACCATTTATCATGGCCAAAGGCGTGACATGTTGGACAAAACCAAACCCATACCATCGTTCGGGTCAAAAAGGTCAACATTCTTAGGGCTAAGTTTACAAATATTTAAAAAGACACTGCATTATATTTGATAAATATCTGGTTCAGAGTAACTTTATAACAATAAAATATCGAAATAAAATTAATTATACTCGGTAAATTTTTAAAATGTAAATGACAGTGAAATTAAATAGTTTTAATACAAAAATTATGGATGACTTCCAGACTAATACATTAGGCAAATATAACTGTCAAATTATACATTGCTGGCAGAAATATTACCATGACTAAAATTATCGGAATAACCACGAAGAATAAAAGTATACGGGATATATGCCTTTGTTAAAAACTGTTTTTCATTGTAAGATCTGTTGCCACACAACAACCAGACGAGTTGCCGAATCGAAACATTAGAAAACCCCGACCCTGTTTTACTTAAATACTGGACACAATCCACCGTAAACACATTCGTCGAGTCCACGTAAAACCGGTGGCAGGGGATTGGCATAATATGTCGAATAATCAGAGATAGAAGGCAATGTTTTGAATTGTTTATTGTGGGTTTCCCAAGGCAGCTCACCGTAGGTTCGCGTCATCATCGCCTCCATCGAACACAGGTTCCCTCGTGCAAACGTTCTCTCCAACGAGAACTATACATATCTGATACTAAACAGTAAGTACGTCTAGAGTTAAGATGTTCAAGATACCACAACCCACCTTGAATCCAGTCGGAATGTAGTAAAATTCCTCAAAACCATCGGTAGGATACGAAACGGGATTACACCTGGAACTCTACTGCCTGTTAGTAGTGGACTATGTGATTGGTCACGTGATATCCACATTCGCAGGGTGATTCCATTGTTCGATGGGTTGGTCGGGCTGTAAATTTTATGTTCGCAATGCGGCGCGCAGAGAGAATATTATTATTTTGTATAAATTAATTATCTACACGATAGATTGCTTGCTTGAATTCTGAAACTTTAATTCTGTTTAATTCTGTTACATTTTATACGCAATACCCATTACTAGTATATTCTCTTGATTAATAAATGTTTAACTATTTCAAAAAGTTTCTATTAGTATTAGGATTTTCGGCTATCAGAAAAGCCTTAAACAGATTTTGACTCCTTTGATTTTGATTTTGACTCATTTGTTCCGGACAGTGAACAG